ATCTCATGCAGTTTCAGGATTTTTTCTAGGAATCTTTCAGAAATGACTGAAAAGTAAGAGAGGTGTCAGCACCAAGGTCATGATGGGCTGGTTTAAATAAAAGCTTTTGTTCAACATTTCAGAAATTGTTGTCTGGCCACTGTTTTAATTTTTCAGCCTGCCAACAGCTTGCCTTTGGACAGACAGCCTCCTACTGTATAAAAATACATTTGCCATTTCATTCAATAATACACTTAAGCCAGCAAACTTCAGTATCTTTTACTCATGCCTTATTAGTCAGCACCAGATGAAAAAAAAAGTGTTTATATGTGATAGAACAAATAAAAACACTAATAACACTTGTGAAAAACACGGTTGTGAAGGCAGAAAAAGCATTTCAAGCATGCTTTAGTAAACAACAGTTTATCAAAACGTTTTTATGCAGAAAGTATGACAAAATCATATCCTCCAGATTTGGAAGTCCAAGAACACTTCGCACACCAAGACTACTGACGCACTTGGGTATCTATCACATAGCATCACAGCTAAAGATGCAGCACATGTCCTGTCTACATTTCAGTCTTAAAACCTGAGCACTTTATGCAGCTCAGCTGAAGCCAGATTTGCCTTATGGATGTAGCACAGAACCTCAGCAATACTGAGGCACCATTTTTATGGTGTTTCAAAACAGGTTTTGGATTAGACTCTGATTACTGGTGTTGCTCACAGATGTAATGATTTTGACTTTTTGTATTAAGTCCCCCATCAGCAAACATAAGAAAATTGGACACTTTTTTAGCCAGATAATCATGAAATATAAAGTTTATGCATCAGGGATGCACATTTTTACAACAAATCAATTCATCACTGAAGGCTCAGTGGTTTATTGTTCCACAATAAACAATACATAAGCTACACAACAAAAGAAAACAGCCTCACAAAATGGAGCAACAATGATAACACAGATGGTATAAAGCACAGACGTTACCACATATGTAGAAGATGAATTGAGCAATTCAGTTGGGGTGAATTCCTGGCTGGTGTTAGGCAGCTTTAGAGATTTTACTATCCAAGAATCTACTCAGGTATTTCAGTCATTCCTGATGAAACTTGAATTCTTCTGAACAGCTCCTTCTTCTGTGTATACTTATTTGTAAAAAGACTACAGTGATTATAAAGATTGTTTAATTTAAGTTATTGTTTTATTATCAAGAGGCTTTTAGTTTCTGTTACAGCATCTTTGCAAAGGACAATGTACAGCTGGACCCAGACAACAACAAAAAAAGCCATTGTCAGCTAGCATTTAAGATTAAAGTTCTGAAGTGTTGGATTACTTAATTTGGTAAATAAAATATCTGGAAAGCCTGCAACAGCGAGTAAGTTGTGTGTAACCGGGGATGGTAGGAAACTCATAGCACATAACAATCACATTAAAGTGTTGAGTGAATTAGAGCATGGACTGCTTGTTACAATAGTGTCAGACCAGTGGGCATAACTGAACCTTGTTAACTCTAAAATTCCTAAATCTCATTCATGGATTTCTGCTCTCTACTATTTTATGGCACACTGATTAACACAGCTTGAGACGAATACCACAGGTATTCCAGGCTGTGATGTCTTATGTGTGAGTGGTATGCTGTTCAGTGAAGCAAGTATATCACTTGTGCTGTTAAAAGGGTGGGGTTTTTTTCTTTCCATTTTCTGCATTATTCTTATTCTTTTGTGAAAAGAGAAATATATGGATGGATGTATATAAATATAAGTTGCACTGCTTTTTCCTAACAAAAAAAAAAAAAAAACAACCCAAAACCTAAGATGTTGCTAACTTGCCAACAAAGTCTGAATTTTTCATCCTCTATCATAGTCACACACAATTTCTAAAGTTAGCAATGCATTTACAAAAATGACGCCCTTGACTTCTCCACTTTATTGCTTACTGCTACATGACCTTTAGTCAGCAGTGACAGTACTTTTCTTTATTGAGAAAAGATGTAACAGATACAATAGACCTCATGCTGGCATATACCAGTAGGCACTGCACCAGGCTTCAAGCTGCAGACTTCACAATGCTTTTAAACTTTGGTGCTTTTGTCTTCCAGGAGATTCCAGCTTTTATAAATTACTCCAGTAATTATTACTCCAGATAATACTATCACAATACTCTTAAAACACTTGTCAGATTTAGTTCATTCTATGGAAATCTAAATCATCTAGATAGAATCATAGAATCATTAAGGTTGGAAAAGAACTTTAAGACCATCAAGTCCAAGCCTCAACAGATTACCACCATGCCCGCTAACCTTACCCCTCACTGCCACATCTCCACATTTCTTGAACACTTCCAGGGATGGTGCCTCCTCCACCTCCCTGGGCAACCTGTTCCAGCACTTCACTACTGTTCCAAGAAGGATGTTTTCCTAATAGATATAACTTACCTTATAGTAGGACACCGAGAGACAAGCTTTACACTTCTAGCTTGCTTTCGAGTCTGCAGTAAGAATCCTGAGACTCCGGCCTTTACTGTCAGACAGATTTTTAGTGACGATTAACGTTTGTAGTTGAACGAGATCTCCACTCATCACATTATAAAATTTGTGTAACAAGAACATTAAGAGTGTCAGAGACTGCCTCATGAGACTGAATGAGTACAAGTCTATGAGGTTGGATGGCATGCATGCCAGGGTTCTGAAGTTGCTGAGCCGCTCTCCATCATATTTGAAAAGTCCTGGCGGTCAGGTGAGGTCCCGGATGACTGGAGGAAGGGTCATGTCACTCCCATTTACAAGAAAGGGAGCAAGGAGGACTCCGGGAACTACAAGCTGGTGAGTCTCTCCACTGTGCCTGGGAAAATCATGGAACAGATCATCCTGGATGCATGCTTGATCACATGAGGAATGAGCGTGTGATCTGAGAGAGCCAGCATGGCTTCACCAGGGAAGGTCATGCGTGACCAATCTGGTGGCCTTCTATGATGGAGTGACGGCATTGGTGGACAAGGGAAAGGCGACCGATGTCATTTACCTGGACTTGAGCAAGGCCTTTGACCCCACCACATCCTTATCTCCAAACTGGAGGAATGTGGATTTGATGGCTGGACCACTCGATGGATGAGAAACTGGTTGTAAGGCCGCAGACAGAGTGGTTATTAATGGCTCTATGTCCGGGTGGAGGCCAGTAATGAGCGGCGTCCCCCAGGGGTCTGTCTTGGGACCGGTGCTCTTTAACATCCTTATCAATGACATCCATGATGGAATCAAGTGCACCCTCAGCAAGTTTGCTGATGACATCAAGCTGAGTGGTACGGTTGACACAGAAGAAGGAAGGGATGCCATTCAGAGGCACCTCAACAGGCTGGAAAGGTGGGCCCAGGTGAACCTGATGAGGTTCAACATGGCAAAGCGCAGAGTTTTGCACTTGGGCCAGAAGAATCCCAGGCATCCATACAGACTGGAAAGAGCGGTCCTTGAGAGCAGCCCTGTGGAGAAGGACCTGGGAGTCTTGACAGATGAAAAACTTAACATGAGCCAGCAATGTGCCCTTGCAGCTCAGATGGCAAATGGTATCTTGGGGTCCATCAGAAGAGGGGTGGCCAGCAGGGAGAGGGGAGATTGTCCCCCTCTACTCGGCTCTTGTGAGGCCCCATCTGGAGTACTGTATTGAAGCCCCCAGTACAAGAAAGACAGGGAGACAAGGGGAAATGGTTTTAAGTTGAGGGAGGGAAGATTTAGGTTGAATGTCAGGAGGAAATTCTTTACAGAGAGAGTGGTGAGGTGCTGGAAAAGGCTGCCCAGAGAGGTTGTGGATACCCCGTGCCTGCAGGTGTTCAAGGCCAGATTGGATGGGGCCCTGCACAGCCTGGTCTAGTATTAAATGTGTAGATTGGTGGCCCTGCATGTGGCAGGGGGGTTGGAGCTTCATGATCCTTGAGGTCCCTTCCAACCCTGGCCATTCTACGATTCTGCGACTTTCACATTTTTTATTTACTGGCTTTGATGTCCTGATTTACTCACAGTAAGTCAGCCTACAGATCACTAGCCTGCAGTTTATGCTAAGTTCAAAGCAACAGGAGATATTCACTGACGTGAGCAGTCAAGAAATTTAATTTTCAACAGTTGTGACTGTAATACAGAGAAAAATAAAGGTAAGTAAGTAAACTGCAAACAAGAGACAGCATGAAAAATTTCCATTAAAAGAAAAAGCATGGGAATACTGTAAAATCTAAAGCAAATATGCTTGAACTACTTGTAATACTGTCACCCAGTAGCATCTAGAAATCTTAAAGAGCCAGAGTAAATGTTTACACTTGCTAGGGTAACCGCAGAGGCAAAAGGACACGCAACCCTCCTCACATACCGCAGCGGCAGCTCGGCCACGTTCCACCCACTGCCCCTCAGGCGGCCCCGGAAGCAGCGGTACCGGAAGCAGCACCCCCAAGCCCCGCCCCCAGGCCACGCCGTGGCTCCGCCCCCCGCCTGAGGGAGGAAGCGCGCGGCGCTGCCCCCACCATGATGGCGGCCAGCGCAGGAAGGGGCGGCGCGCGGGGCGGAGCGGCGACGGCGCCGGCGGGGAGCGCGCAGCAGCGCGGCGGCGGACGGCAGGCATGGCGAGATCCCCGCAGCCCCCGCGCTGCCCGCGGCGACCGGCTGCGGCTCGGGCGCGGCCGGGCGCTGCAGGCTGCGCGGGCGACGCCGCTTCGACCCCTCTCCGGCCCGCTCCCCGCCGCCGTAGTCGGATCGGGGCCTCGCAGCGGCGGCCCGCCGGTGGCCCCGCCCCCTCCGTCCCCTTAAAGGGCCCGCGGGTGCCGCGCGCGGCTTTGCTAGTGCTCGCCTCGCGCCGATGGCGCCGCTCTCGGCTGCGGCGCTGCTTCCCTTCTGGTCGCCTCTCGCTTCCTCCCTCCGTTCCCTTTCGCTTCCGGGGTCACAGCCGCTGCGGCCGCCGCTCGGGAACCAGCCCCGTCCCGGGGCCCGGCCGGGAGAGCCGGCCGCCGCGCTCCCCGCAGGCCGCGCCGTCCCGCCGTCCCCATGGCCAGCAACCCTCAGCCGCAGCCCCCGCCGCCGCCTCCCCCGCCGCCGCCCCCGCAGCAACAGCCGCCGCTGCCGGGGACTGGAGCCGGCGCGGGGAGCGGCGCGGCGGAGCCGGAGCTGGTCTCCATGATCGTCAGTCACCTCAAGAGCCAGGGACTCTTCGACCAGTTTCGCCGCGACTGCCTGGCCGACGTGGACACCAAGGTGCGGGCGGGCGGCGGTGCCCGGCGGGCTGCCGGCTCCGTTCCCCGGGCGCGGGGCCGGGCGGGAGGGAGGTGTGGGGCGGCCGCGCGGGCCGTTGGAACTCGCGCCTCCTCGGCTGTTATGCGGGGCGAAGCTGAGGCCGCGTTCTCGGAGGGCGGCGGTGCGAGCGCGGCTGTTGGTGCCGAGCCTTTCCGGCAGCGCGCGTTAAATGCGTTACAAGCTCGTAGCAAGCCGGGAACGGCCGCTGCCTGCCGCGGGCCGCCGTGAGGCCTCCGGCTACTCCGGAGAGCTGCGCGTCGTCCAACCTCTCTGTCCTCTTGTGCTTTGTTGTTTTGTTTTTTTTTCTTCAGCCTGCCTATCAGAATTTGAGACAGCGTGTTGATAATTTTGTTTGCAACCATTTGGCCACTCATACCTGGAGTCCTCATCTCAACAAGAACCAGCTGAGAAATAACATTAGGCAGCAGGTTCTCAAGTAAGTGGTACTTCTGGGGTTTCTGTTGGAATACACTTGTGTTCTGTGACAGCTAGCTGAAGCTGTAGGTCAGTTGTAAGCTGCCTGTTTTCTTTCAAGGGACTTCTAGATAAGCTTATTTTTTTATTATTATTATTTTTTTTTTTAATTTAAACAAACGGTGGTATTATTTTAGTTAGCACTTTGTCATCAGCGTTACTCAGAGTTAGGCTTCAAATGTTATTTTGACTGATTGGAATTTATCCGGTGATGGAAGGCTTGTTTCTGACTTGGGGTGTGACATCCCAGCTCAGGATAACCTTTGCTATTTCTTAAAAATAAACGCAGTTGCTATTATCTGATGTTGAAATAAGGATAATAAATAGAATTTGACAGATAAAGCCCTGCAAAGTGCAAATCACAAAAAACAAAACTGGATGTAAATCTGTCTAGAGGGAGAAAAGCTGTTGTGGGACTGCTCTTACATCAAAATGATGTCATGCACTTATCTAATGCTTGATTGTTTCATGTTCCGTTAGTTTTAGTTCTTAAAAAGTAGTCATAAGAAGCATGGGGAAGTTTCTTTAAGTAGAGTGAGTTTTGTGACTGAATTGGGTCTCATACAAAGGATTTGTGAACAAATGTGTTCAGTTACGATTTAGTGACTTTTTGTAACTGGTACAGAGAGAGAGATCTGGGGATTTCTTAATCCAAGCAATGGTGTCAAAAGATACCGTTGTGTAATCTTTTATAAAGAGGGGTCTGGAGAAAACCTTAAGGTAAGAAGTTCTCCATTGTCACTAATTTTGTTACTTAAGATTAAAGGTGTTCTATAAAGCTGTACAAACTCGTAGTTGTTGCAGTGTATTGTGTGAAAACTGAATTGGAACAATGGAGGCTGATTAATCTGTTCCTCATGCTGTCGAAAATTTATTTATTTTATGTCATGGGAGTTGATAAGATCAGATTCCTTCTTAATGTTTCTTCCAAAATATGCTTTTACAGTTAGTTAACATTTGTAGACATAACCAGTACTGACATAGCCACAGGTTGTACTGTTGTGTCATTTCCATGCAATTGGATCACTTCGTTTCTTAGACTTTTTAATTTATAAGGTGTTAGAGCTGTGGAAATACAGCTGACTAAATACACACCTGAGTGATGTTCAGAAAACATTAGTGCTTCACTTAAAGTGTTTAGAAGTGTTTGCATGATATCTAACTGAACATGTCATTAAGACATTCTCCAAGAGTCATTTTCTTATTAACTATGAATGTAACTTTTGTTCTAGGTCTGGAATGCTGGAATCTGGAATTGACAGAATTATTTCTCAGGTTGTGGACCCAAAGATCAACCACACATTCAGACCTCAGGTGGAAAAAGCTGTCCATGAATTTTTAGCAACACTGAATCACAAAGAGGAGGCAGGCCCCAGTACAGCTGCAAGTGAGGAGAAAACAGACACGTCTGTTGCCGTGCAAGGTATTCTACCTCTTCTGTTAGCAGTCTACTATCAAAAGTTTGTTTTCTTTAGGAAAGGGATCATTGACTAGGTTTGTTGCTTGCACAGAATCATTGGTATCCATATTGGCAAGCTGAGCTCCAGGCAGCGTGTGATTATACTTGTCTCTTGCTACAATTATAAAGTTAGAAGGCAAGAAAGATGTCACCATGTATCACTTTGTCACTTCCACTCAGCTTTACAGGGGATCAATTTACTGTGGGGAGGAATGTTGGTCTTACTGGCCCTGTAAGTATTGTATGGTCAAATGAAACATAGCTGTACGAAAGGAATGACTTAATTTTTTTATCCTTTGGTAGATCCAAAGGGGTTATCTGGAAGACATTTAATTCTGTTGCTGTGTGCTAAGATTCTCTCAGGAACTTAAGTTCTGCTGCAAATCAGCTAATCCTTAGTTTGTCTATAAACACATCAGTTTATTTGTTTTTTATTTATGTTGCCCTGTATCAGCTTCTAAGGGCTTTGGCAGGTATTTGTCCATTCTTTCTCTTCCTAAGAGACTCCACTGCAGTTCATTTAGTTGTAACCAGACCCTTTATTTAAATCCTAGCTCTTTTCCTGTGGGGCCCGCTTCCTTTAAAGTAAGTGGGTTAACAAGCCAGCTGCACCTCCCTGTGCTAGTCCAGTTAACCCCTTCTCATCAATCTTCAAATTTCATTTTAAGAGAATAGGAAACTGATATGTTCATTTGATAGCTCTATTATTTTATAATCAGTACACTGAGTTCATTTCTGCTGTCATTTATGAAGATATAAGGGGAAGAGATGTAGAATTCTTGTGGCAGTACGCTTTTCCCTAGCCTACTGATGATAAAGTTGAGCTTCCTTCTCATGGACCATTCTTGCTGTTTCTTGAAGATTGTAACATCTTGTTCTTTATTTTTTTTAATAACTGAAATCTCTAGATGCAAAGTTATTGAAATATTTTGGTTAATCTTATTTATCTTAAATGGAGTAGTAGTTAATTTTTCTTTTGACTTTCTTAATGTCGTTGTCATTCTAGCTAAATGGCTACTTCCCTTCAAACATTGCCATCATGGAAAATGGTAGAAACTAACTTAAACTGTTTTCTTTCTTCCTGTTCAAGGTGTTTCTACTACTGCTCCTAGTGGTAATGTAGCTAGTGATGCAATGTCAATTTTGGAAACAATAACTTCTCTAAACCAAGAAGCAAGTGCTGCCAGGGCTTCTACAGAAAACTCAAGTTCCAAAAACAATGACAAAGCTGCAAAAAGACTGTTATCTCAGCAGAGTGTTGATGGTGGCACTGAGAGAAACATGGAAGACATGCCAGATAAAGAAAAAGCAATTTCTGATTTTTCTGGAGAAGGGGCTGAAACATTTGTGAAGTGTGAAGATTCAAATGAGCTTCCTTGCCAAAGTGAAGAAACGAAAAATTCAACAAAGGATGCCAGTAGTTCATCTGTTACAATTAAAGATGCAAGTAAAGAAATACAACAGGATAGTGAAGATCAGAAGAGTAAACTAATAGATAAATGTGAAAAGAAACCAGAAGGTGATAGGAGAAAAGAAAAGAAAGAAAAACTTGACAAGAAGAAAAATGATGATGCTGCTAAGTCAAAAGAAGAAAAACAAGTGAAAGAGTCAGAACCAGTGAAACAGTTAGTTCCAGAAAAAAATAGCAATAAACATAAAGCATCTGAAAGTGCTAAAGAAGGTATGGTATGGGCAATGCTTGCTCTTAAAATATGGATATGCTAAAGTGTATTCAGGAGCTGAATTAGAAATGTGTGTGGGAAAATATGTTTTCTGCTAGTTCTGACATACTAGCCACAGTTAGCTCATGGCTCATCTCCTTTCACTGAGGTACATGAATCAGGAAATGTAGATCTTTGATTCTTCAGGCATTTTCCTCCTTAGTCGTGTTATTCCAACAAGATCTCAGCAGTTTAAGGTGTTAATTTTTTTTTCCTTTGCTATTTCTTATTCTTAAGACTTTGTTTTCAATGTTAATTTTTTTTTTTGTAAGAAAAGCTTTTCAAATACAATGTGCTGTATTACAGCTTCTCTCTTTTTCTCCTTTGCAAGAACATACATCACTAGATTCAGATACAGATGTACTCAGTGACATCACTGTCAGCTCTGTCCATACGAGTGACCTTTCTTCCTTTGAAGAGGAAAGCGAAGAAGAACCTGTGATTTCTGACAGTACTGAAGAGGGGGAGATCACATCAGATGGTAAATCAGTTAGATTGTTAATGGCAGTGCTAAAATTACAAGAAATAGTATGCAACTCTTTTGTAATTTGAATACGTTCTCTAACAAATTTGATGTTTTGCAGTATTTTGTGTTTACCTGGGAGATTTTAAATTTGGACTGGTAGTATTTGTGCAATCATGAAGGATGAATAGAAGACATATTTTGAGTCTCTTTTTTTGTAATAGTATTATATATGCTAAATGTTGTCACTCTTACTACAGTGTATAATAGAGAACAGAACCACTTAAGTGATGGATATGAGGCTTTGCAGTGAGATTTTTACCTTCCTTTTTGCCAGAAATGTAGCAAACACTGGAGTGATTTGTTAGTTTTCCTGCAGTACTGGATGTACTTGACTTTGCTGACTTTGTTTTCAGAGCTTTAGATTTGCTTGTATTTTCAAATTCTACTTGGTTGCAGCAGAAGAAATGTGAATTGGTCTAGCTTTAAGAGTTGGGAAACACTAAACCTGTTCTCTGGCTGGGTTACATTTTGTAGTTTTCTTTGTCTTGAGCAGACCACAGGTTCTTAATGATTTCTGCAAATATTACTCTGAGCGTATCTTTTCTGGTCTAAAAATACTCTGTAGAAGCACTCAATTTCTTTTATGTTCTCTAGCTTTGATTTTTTCTTTTGATGATAGATTGCATGATGTGAAAACAAGCCTGAAGTATGTTTCAAGGGTGTAAATGCTTCTTATGGTATGAAGCATAAGTGCTTTTGCAATATCTCTGATAGTGCTGATAAATAAAATCTATTTCTGTCTTACTCAAATAATGCTACATTAGTGTAAACAAGTATGTTCTGTTTAAGTATTTTCAGCAAACCTATCTAGTTGAAGATTTTAAATGGTGTACATATTTTTGGCATAGGAATGAAGCTTAGTTTAATACTCAGCAGAAGTAATATTCTGACACAGTCCTGGAAGTAGCTAAATACTATAGATATAATGCAACAAGGTTTCAGGTACAAGGATTAAGCCCTTCATTATAAATTATTTTCCTTTTAACATCTTGAAAATTTTTTTTAAGCTGAGCAGCATACATAAATTAATATACGTTCCAGGTTTCAGTAATTTGATGGTATTTTGAACTTTAACTATGTTTTTGAGGAAAGTAAGTTAAGTTTGGGGTGGCTTGTTTCTTCAAAAGTGATGTTGAAAGTACTGCCTTAATTTATCAATCTCTCCGTGCACTTAAAAAAAACTTTTCAGATGAAGAGGAGAAAAACAATAAAAATAAGGCAAAGCCTCATGCGAATGAACTGAGCGATGGGAGAGCCAAGCCGGTTCGTCATGCTTATGTTCGTAAGCCTTTTTTGTACTCCAAATACTTCAGTGATTCTGATGATGAACGAACAGTAGAGCAACGTCGCCAGTCCATTGTAAGTTTGAGTTTTGTTACTGCTCAGTGTCTTAATTCCTTAAACTTTCCTCCAGCACCAAAATTTCATTTCTTACTTGGCCCTGATTTGTAAGGTGGATTTTAGTTTTGTTTTTGGTGTTACCCCTGTTCCTTTTTCAGACTTTAACCAGTATTGCATGATATAGAGCAATGCACTCCACGGGAACACTCTGCTGGGTGTAGTTAAAAAGGCTTCTGGTAGAGGTAAAAAACTAGAAAATGAAACCACAAAAAAAAAATCCACGTGTAATGGTTTTGACATCTTTTCCCTGACTTTCAAATGAACAGTGCTCTGGTGTTAATAGAGTTTACTAAGTACATACAAGCTCTTCACAGGTGCATTCATTCTTGCTTGGGTCATTAAGTGTGAAGATTAGGAACTGCTACAGACACACACACACACACACACAAAAAAAAAAAAGTCCGCAGTGGCTTTAGTACATGTGATGAGAACTTAAGTGGAAGAAGTAGCCTTCATCTACCTATGGTCTTCCTTCAGTGTGGTTTTGTGTAGTGTGGGCCAAGGATTTCTTTACAAATGCATTTCTCACTGTCCCTGAAGTAGTTGTAAAATTTCTGCAGGCAGTGAGAAGAGAAGTTTAAGTATGTTTCTTCTGGAAGAAAGCACACAAAGCAGGATTCAGTTGTTCTTTTAGACTTTCTGTTATGTCTGAATGCATGTTGCTTGTAACATAGCATTCTTCAATCCAAGCTAATGCTGGGGACTTGTGGGTGTTGAGTAAGATAGGGTCTGTATTTTGTTTATGCATTTGAGGTTCATAGAGCTGAAAAAAAAAAAAAAAATAGTAAATCAGTTAAACCTACCTCCCTTTAATTATTTTATATCTGGGGGAAAAAAAAAAGCTGCAAGGAAACACCTATAAACTATGAGGTTTTTTCTGCTTTTTTTTTTTTTTCTTTTATGTAAATACTTATATAAAGTAGATATGCTTGTTGATTAAGAAGTGTTGGCCTCTATCTGCTGTGTTGAGCAGCAGTGTAACTCTGGGAGTCAGCTAGTTTCACCTTACGGGAGTGTTAGAGGATTCCATTTGCTTTGACGTAAAGCTTTCAAAGTACTATTAATTTTTTTCTTTGCCTCAAGCCAAAGCATTCTGTTTTCTGTATAATTTCTGTATATCTGTAGAATATTCTTTGACCTAATGATAAATTGTCTTTTCTTCCTTGCGTATCTCCAGGCCAAAGAAAAAGAGGAGAGACTTCTAAGAAGACGAATGAATAGGGAGAGACTTGAAGAGAAACGTAAACAGAAAACTGCAGAAAAAACAAAGTCCCTGAAAAGTGGAAGTCAAAATGCTAAAGGTATGAATATTTTAATTTTTTTTTTTTTTTTTTTTTTTTTTTGTCCTGTTGTGGTTTAACCCAGCAGGTGGCTAAGGAACCACATAGTCATTTGCTCACTTCCTCTCTTCCTATTAAGATGAAGGAAGAATTGAGTGGGTAGAACTCATGGATTGAGATAAAACTATATACTGAGAGAGAGAAGTGATGCAGAAGAAATTGCTTACCATCCCCTGATCAATGCCGAGCTAGCCTCCAAGCAGCAGCGGATCAGAGAGAGAGATGAACCCCCACCCTCCTTAAAAACTCCTGCTTGATGTCATAATGTATGTGATATCCCTTTGGCCAGTTCAAGACAGCTCTCCTGATTCTGTTCATTCTGAGCTTGTTAGGCCCTTTGCTGTGAATAGCCTTGGCTCTGTACAACATTGTTTAGCAGCAACTGTAAACATCAGTGTGTTATCAGTGTTGTTCTTCTCATAGAACCAAAATGTAGCATCATACCAGACACTTCGAAGAAAGCAATTACATCCCAGCTGAAACCTAAGACAAGATCTTATTTCAAGGGAAAATAAGGGTAAAATGATGACAATGGGCCTTTCTTCATTTCTCTTGAAAGTCCAATGTTTGTATAATCTGATTTCTTGTTTCAGTATATACATATTTAAATTGCTGGATTATCCGTGATTATATTGCTTGTATGCTCGTATATGTTAGTTTTTATACATTTAGTGTTCTACAGACATAATTATTTCACCATTTGGGTATTATATTTCAGGAAAAAGTGGCTTGAATTTGGAAGAACCATCAGCAAGAAGTCTTGAGTCAAAAGCTACTGGTACCAGCATTAAGGATGTGCTTAAAGAACAGAAATTCTTAGAAAAAAAAGTAGCTTTGAGCAGAAAAAGAAAAAGAGATTCAAGGTATTTGTGTATTTAGTCAAATGAAGTGAAATCTTCAGAAATTTATTTTTGTAGATTGAATTGTTTCTTTTCAACTTTGCTGCTCACCTTACTTATTTAAACAATTTCTTTCTAAGATACTTGGTTAACGTTGTTACTAATAAGTATAAAGTTATGGCTGCTTAATATACAGCAACTCAGCAGCCTTTGTGTGACTTCTTATGCACAGAATAATAAAAGGACATGAGAATGGTCAGCTGTTAGATGTTTGTGCATCTAGTAGAAAAGAAATGTGTGATGTATCTCCGTTAACTTTCGTTTTTGGAAGTGGCAGAGTTCCTAGTACATACTTAACGTTTTCTCTTCTGTCATGTTTGTTTTGTTGTTGTTGTTTTTTTCAAGCTTTTCATTACTACATTTTCATTCACTTACCTTATTTCTTGACCTCATTAAGGAAGTAAGATTTAAAAAAAAAAAACAAAAAAAAAAAACACACTTCAGATCAATAGTAGTGAAGCTTAATTGACTGCTTGTGTATGCTTTTTATAATTTGCATATACATTAAAGAAGAAATGCGTTACACGCTGTCATGCTGGAATGTGCTCTGCAGTTGTTCCAGAAGAATGACTTTACTTGCTTGATGTGAACATCACATTTAACTCACTCTGATCTTTAATTTCATATTTTCTATTTGTACAAACATGCATAGCTGTCTATGTACATGTGTAGATATAGTAAATGAGCCATATTTCTAAAAGATAATATTTTTACAATTTTTCTTGCTTTTAAATGGAGAGCATTAGGTTCTTTCTTTTTTTTTTTTTTTTTTTTTTTTTTTAAGAAAAATGTATTAACTGTTTTACAGGGACAACTGTACTACTAATATTGTCATCCTGATGTTCTCTGATTTAAAGCAGTGTTGTCCAGAGGACAAATATGAAGTCAGTACGCATAATTTGGACAAACTATATAGTCATAAGTTTTGTAACCATGTTCTCCTTCAGTATTTCAGTGTACATTTATCTCGTCTTCAGCTTTAAGAGCAGAAATTTTACTAAGTCATGTTTTGAGTTGCTGTCTTTTTTTCTGATTGCTTGTCCAAATACTTGTTTCAGGCGTGTTGAAGACAGTTGGAAAAAGAAATATGAGCCATCTGAAGATGATTCTAAGGAAGTGCAAAAAACAAATGAGGTATGTGTCTCTAAGGCTAATAAAATTAATTACAAAAAGAAATACTATTATGAGCTTTTTAATTGCAGTAATGCTTGTTCATACATCCATACCAAACTGCATACTATTGCATCATTTGTTCTTATGAATTGTTTTTTTCATGCTTCTAGTGCTCTAACATTAAATCAATTTTGTTTTCTGAATTCTAGTAAACGCTAGGTTGCATTGTTTATGTATTTGGTGCTGATTTGTTTTGTACTGGAAGGAGGGGATTTGAGCAATATTCTGTAAATTATGTTGTACTTCACAAACAGCAGTCTGTCTTACATGCAAAGATTTGATAAATTTGATTTTCTTGAACTTTTCCTTGGGAAGTTGTAACAATGTAGTCTGACTAGTAGAAGACAATTCTTAAGTTGAGTTTTTAGCAACAAAGTTATTACCAAGAAAGTGACAGGCGGAAGTTTAACTGGAAGTCTAGAACTACCTGGTATGAGTTTCTGGATTTTGTTTAAACATTGTATCAGATTTTTGAAGCGACTCATGGAATATTTGAAATGGTTGTTGTCCATTTAAAGATATATTTAAATTGTTTTTAAAAGGAAAGTTCACTTTATAAAGAAGTTCAAGGTCAGGCAGACTGTTAAATTCTGTTTCTTTTGGCTTTTTTACAATAGCAATCAGTTGAAATAAGATTTTTTCTCATCAATTTTTACAATTCTTATTATGATAAGGGTTCCCTACTGCATTGTTTTTAATTTGCCTTCAACAATTGTCAGTCATGTAGTGAAGGAACTCTGACATCTGCCTACATATATTTAACTTTCTTTTGCAGACTTGTGAAAAAAATTCTTCAAAAGAATTAAAGCATAACCATGGCAAAACTGAAACCTCTAAACCACTTCGAAGACTTTCGGAATCAATACATTCAGCTGAGGAAAACAAAACTGATTCTAAAGTGGAAAAAGAACATAAAAGAAAAATTTCCACGTCTCTTCATACTGAAGGAAACCAACAGGACATTGAAACAAAGGACCCAAAAAGACAACTGGAAAGATCAGAAGCCAATACTGATGAACTACAGAAGCAGAAAACCATATTCAAAAATGAAAAACACCCCAAAAAAGATAGTGACACAGAAATTCAACATATGAGAAATGCTGCCAAAAAAGAAGCCAAGTCTTACAGAGATAAAAATGAAAAGGAAGTAACGGCATTAGAAGATAAACTTTCCTTAAAGCATAAATGTAAAGGAGATAATATTCATAAATCAGTTGAAGATGTTGAACTCCATTCTTCTGAGAAAAGTTTGAAAGGAGAGGATGGTGCTCAGAAACATAATCAACAAATGAAGAATTCCTCAGATGACAAATATGAAAGAAAAAGTAAACACCGAAGTGAACGGAAAATATCAGTAACTGGAAAAGATGGAAAAGGTATTTCTGATTCCACTTTAAAAGCTGAAGAGTTACTTCGTAAGGAAAATAAAAAAGACAGGCATCTCTCAACAGAAAAATCAAGAGCAGAATACAAATCCAAAAGATCTCTGAGTGATTCTAGGCCGCAGAAGGATTCTATAAGTGCCTCAAAGCAACTTGCTTCTGCATCGCACAAAAGAAGTGAAAGTTACTCAGAAGAAAAACATGAAATAAAATCCACTAACTCTGACTGTAATTTGAAGCAAGAAGATGGTGTTCATAAAGACAGACGAAGATCTAAGAGCCTTGCAGAAGACAAAATTTTATTGAAGTCTAAGTCAAAGAGTCATAGTAAACAATTGAAAGCATCCGAAACAGAATTACAAGAAAATTTAGCAAAACAAGATACTAGTCAGAAACTGGACAAAGATAAGCACATGGAAGAGAATGATTCGGATAAACAACACAATTCCAAAAATGAAGATAAAATATCTGAAGAGAGCGGTGCTGATTTTGAGTTTGAAAGTGGAATGCAGTCAACTCAGGGATCACAAAAAGACTCCAGTCACAGAGTTAAGTTACACTCTGGAGAAAGAGGATCTGTAAAAGAGAAATGTAGAGGTGATAAAGATTTAAGTAACTCCAAACTAGAAAGAAAGTTATCTGTTGAAAGTCACAAAAGCAGAAGCATAAAGCACGGCAACAAGGAAATAAAGAAAAAGGAAGAATGTGCCAAAGTGGAGGATAAAGATATGAAAGAAATGGATGGTGGACATGAGAAAGTAATGGGCATCACAGTGACAGTGGATAAAAAACAAAGTAAAAAGGTATCCTGTGAAAACAGAAAAGGCAATATATCAAACCACAATTTGCTTGGAGAGGAAAAGCAATCAGTTGGTGTAACTGTAAGCAGCTCTCTTCCTGTTCCTCAAAAGTCGAATATGAATAGTAATGACATGTGTTCTGGTCATGAGGGAGAAGTGATGGAACTTGATTTGGATGAAAAAAAAGTACAAGAAGAATCTAAAATGGAAGGAAAAGACATTTTAAATTCAGTCCAAGTCACAGATGCCAAATACACAGCAAAAGAAAAAATCTCTTTTGCAAGTAAGGAGTTAAAACACACTTTGGCAGATCTTGAAGCTTCTGAATTGAAGTTTCTGGCTGCAGTTGAAAAAGCTAATAAACAAGAAGATATCCCTAATAAGCAAGCTGGTGCCTTAGATGCTTTATCCAAACAAACGTCAATGGATCAAGGACTCCATAAAGAAGGAGCTTATAAAATGGGTATTGTATCTGGAAAAAGTCATGGAATCTTACTGAATGCTCCCAGTAAGGACCGAACTTCAGAAGACAGCAGAAAACCAAAGAATTTTAAAACTGTGGTAAATTCTAATTCAGATAATGTTCCTTTAGCAATTAATTCTCCCAGAAAAGATGCTGCTGATCCAAAGTCCATGGATATGGAGATCTCTGATTTTACACATTTGGGTAGTATGTCTAGTACATCTAAAGAAGAATGCCGTAATTCAGATGGGACTACTTTGTTTGAAGATGACGCAGCTTCAAAGAATGATGCAACACAGGTTATATACATGGAACAAGAAGATAGTTTAGTGTTGAGTTCTATTATGAAAGGTGGTGATGACAGCACTAAGACAAACAATATAGAAAAAGATAATGGAACACCCCATTCTGATGAGCAAGCAATGGAAAACAGTGCAGCTGGCTCACCTAGTCAAGATTATGACAAAGCATCAAAATTAGAAAGCACTCCAAGAAGCAAATTGAAAATAAAAGAGGAAAGCTTGAGGACTGTTGTGACTGAAGACTGTGGAGATGTACCAACAAAAGCACTTCTAAAAAAACTGAAAAAGAAAGAAAAAGAGTGCTTAAATACAGATTATTCCACAAAGGGAGAAAGAAGCACAATGATGGATAATGTGCAACAGAATGAGATGTGTGATACTTGTAATGTGATGCAATCTTCCTCTGTGCTAGCATCTAAAAAAGATCCTGAAGAAACAGTCAAAGACTCTGTTCCAGCTACTGGGCAAGAAAAGAATAGTAGCATAAAAGATAAAGATGAAAGCAGTGCTGTAGGTACCAGTGCAGGAAGCAGTAAACTTAGTCTGTTGTACAGCAGTATACAAACAATTCCAGCCACTCTGATAGGAACTAGCACAGAAAAGATTGAAAGCACTGTAATGGCCTCTAGTACAGGAGAAGAAAGAGCTGAAGGTGCATCACGTTCTGAAAAGGGAAGTGATGCTACAACCACTTGCTCAGAAGAAGAAAGCGAGATGGCATTAATCTGCACAAGCATAGAAGCTGACGAAGGTTTCACAACAGGCTTATGGGTAAAAACTGGTGAGGGGAGTAGTTTCATTACAGGAACAGATATTGGTGAGTGTACAGTTACAGCAGCAGAAGAAGGTGGTGGCAGTGTCGTCACTGAAGGATTAGCAGAAAGTGAAAGCTTTCTAACAAGTACAAAAGAAGAAGAAAATGATGATTGCACTATGGTTGATGCAGAAGAAAGCAGTAAGGATTCAGTCAATGGAAGTGGAGTAGAAAATGAAGATAGTGTGAATAGTGCTGGAGCAGAAGAAAAAGATGATGCTGTAACTAGTGCGGGCTCTGAAGAGAAGCGAAAGACCTTGACTTGTGTAGGTGCAGGCAAATTAGAAAGTTCTGTGTCCTGCTTAGGTGAAGTAGAGAGTGATGGTGCCGTAACTAGTGCGGGTACAGAATCAGGTGAAGGATCAACAAGTGGTGGCAGTTCGGGTAAATTTAGGGGCAATATAAGAGCTGACCAAGTAAAAGAACATGAAAGTACTGTGACTTGCACAGGTGCAGAAGAAAGAAGTCGTAACTTCATTATGTGTTCAGTAACTGGTACAGATGCCCAGGGAGAAGGTTCTGTAAGTGGGGCATGTATTGCAGTGGTCGCAAATAACAGTGCCACAACTGGAACTACTGGTGACAAATGTGAGGATACTATAAATGGTGAAAGTACAGTGACCAGCACAGGCATAACTCCAGAAGATGATGCTGAAATTTCAGTTCTCTGTACAGGACTAGAAGACAGCAATGAAGGTTTTGCAGTTTGTTTAGATACTGAAAAATGTGAAAGTGCAATGGACAGCACAGGGACAAAGGAGGAAGCTAGTATCACTATAGTCAGCATTGGACCCTGTGATGATGAAGGTTTTGTGACTAGTACAGGCTCAAAAGAAGAGGATGAAGAAGGTGAGGGTATTGTGACCAGTACTGGAAGGGGAAATGAAGAAATTGAGCATGCTTCTACTTGTACAGGAACAGAAGGTGAAAATACACTGATTTGTATAGGTGCAGAAGAAGGTGAAAGTTCCATTATCTGCATAGTTGCTGAACAAATGGAAGCTGAGTCAGGGCTGGCTGGCACAAATGTAAATAAGCTTACCGTTGACAGCATGACAGATGTAGAGAAAGAAGCTAATTGTGGCACAAACTGTAGAAGTGCTAAAGGGATAGTTGAAAGCAGTGTAACCAGTGCAAGTGCTGATGATGAGGATGCTGTGGCAGCATGCATAGAAAAACATGAAGGTACTTTGATTCCCTTAGATGCTGAGGAGTGTGAAGGCCCCATGACTAGTGCTATGACTCTGCAAGATAGAGGTCAGCCTGGTGCTGAAGGGCATGAGAATCCCATGACCTTTGGCAGTGGAGCACTTGATGGCTCTATAAGTAGTGCCATTCCAAAGGAAGATGAAAATTCTCTTATTCCTGCTGACAGAGAGGAAAAAATTAAAGGTGATATCATCTCTACCAGTACAGTGGAAGGAAGTGATGCTCCGTTACATTCAGCCGTAGATACTGAGGATGGTCCACTTACCGTTGCAAGAGCAAATGAAAGTGGGGAAAGCTCTATGATCTCAGTCGATGCTGAAGGTACAGAGGTGCCCATGCCCAGCACAGCTACAGAATTTAAAGAAAGTGTGCTTGCTTTTAGCAGTAAACAGGACAAAGATGAGTGCACAATGATTTCCACTAGTATTGTAGAAGAATTTGAGGCTCCTATGTCTAGTGCCACTATTGAATACAATGGTCAGCTCCCCTCTGTGAAAACAAAAGAAATAAATGAAAGTAAAGTGGTTTCTGTAGGTACAGAAATATATGACGTTCCCATGCCCAGTGCATCCAGTGCAGAAGATGATGAAAGGCATCCAACTGCTAGCAATAAAGAAGAAAAAGATGAGTGTGCTATGATTTCCACAAGTGTTGTGGAAGAACAAGTAATCCTGATGTCAGATGAAGTTGCAGAGGAGACAGTTCAACATATCTCAGAAACAGAATCTAAAAATGAAACAGTAATGATCTCTACAAGTACAGCAGAATGTTTTGAAGCTCCTATGTCTAGTGTAGCTGTACAAGATGAAAATAAACTCACTGCTTCAGAAACAGAAGGGAGATATGAAGCTGCTGTGATCACCACAAGTATGACAGAGGAATGTGAAATAGTACTCATCAGTGCAGCACCACAAGCTGAAGATCAACTCCTTGTAGCAGAAAGAGATGAAGAGGATATCTCTCCAAATGCATCTGAGGAATGTAAGATTGTGGAGACCACTGCTACTGTAGATGAACAGTTTGAACTAGCTGCTTTCAATACAGATGCAAGAGGCAAAGGTTCTGTGATTTTTGTGGGAGAATGTGGAGGTCCTATGCTGAGGGTTGCCACCAACAGTGAAGATCAGGATGCTGCTTCAAGTATAGGAGATAAAGAGGAAGGAGCAGTGATCGCTCTGAGCACAATGGAAGAATGTGATAGTCTCTTCACATTTACTGTCATAGAAGAAAGTCAACTTGATGCTGAGAGTTCAGAAGTAAAAGACAAAAGTGAGGAAGTTTTTAATACTGCTAACCAAATTGAATGCATCCTATCAACTGCGGGCCCAGAAAAAAGCAGTAATTCTTTGCTTGTAATTGGTCAGGAGAATGAGACCCATGAAAGTGTTGTGAGGGGAGCATCAATAGCATCTCAGATGACTGTAGACAGTGAAATCACAGAGGCAGATGAAAATTCAGTCAATCTCATGAGTGTAGATGAAGCCCTTTGCGTGGAGATTAGTACAGAGACTGCTGTGAGCCCAAGTCCTTCCTCAGAGGTAAACGAGGATGATGAGCAAGCTGAAGATGTGTTGCATGAGGATGTTGCATCAGAACTCTCTTGCGTCATTTCAGAAGCATCAGTAAAAGGTGAAACATTAAGAGATATAAACTGTAACTCAGACGTGCTTTTAGAAAGTGACTTTTCTGAAATAAGGACTCCGTTGCCTGGGGAACGGTCTCCTTCCTTAGTTTCTGCAAATGAATTAACTGTAAATAACCACAGTGAAGAGACTATAGAAGCAGAATTGGGGGAGAAAAGTGACTGTCCTGTGTTGCATGTAGAAGAGCTATATGGCAGCGATGATAAAATGAACTTGGTTAAAGTAGATGATTCAGGAGTTGAAGTTACTTGTCAGAAAACTAATACAACCTGTAATTCAGGTAAGGATTTCTGTGGGGTTTTGTTCTCTCTTGAGTTTATAGATATCCTCAATAAATGCTTTTTACCATGACTAGAATTAGCAGTAACTTATGCTGTTCAGATATATCAGACTTCTTTGTAGTTTGCCAAATACTTGCTAATTATGAATTAATGAAAAATAGTTAAGCATGTAATTGTGTCTGTATTGGTGTGACTAAAGAAATCAGTATCCGATATGTGTTGAAAGAAATGTTACTGGATTGCAGAATGGTTACTAAAATGTATCAACTTAAAATTATGAGCTAATATGTTGTTTGCAAGAGATTTCATTACCAACGTTCAGAAATTCAAAAATACTTTTATAGGAAGGAGGATATATTTTATTTAGACATATGTTCAGCAGTTTAAAAATGGCAACTTTGTAGTGATCTTTGAAAATCAAGAATGACCATCCTTAATCATAACTGCAGATTTTCTCAGGAGTTCTTATATTTAAAAAAAAAAAAAAAAATTACTTCAGTCTCTTTATAGAGCCATAGAATGGCATAGGTTGGGAGGGTTCATCTAAGGTTGAAGTTCATCTAGTTCCAATCCATCCTGCTGTGGGCTGGGTTGCCACCCACCACATCAGACTGCCCAGTGCCCCATCTGACCTGGCCTTGAAAGCACTGCCAGAGATGGAGCATCCACAGCCTCTCTGGGCATCCTGTTCCAGTGCCTTACCACCCTTTGAGTTTAAAAAAAAAAAAAAGGGAAAAAAAAAGAACAAACCCCTAATGTCTTCTTCCTAATGTCTAACCTAAATCTCCTCTCTTCTATTTTAAATTCCCCCTTGTTCTGTCATTATCAGACTACATAAAAAGTTGGTCTTCCTCCTGCTTGTATGCTCTCACTTCAGGTACTGGAAGGCCACAATGAGATCTGTCTGGAACCTTCTCCAAGATAAACAAGTCCAACTCCTTCAATCTGTCTTTATAGGAAGGGTGCTGTTGCCCTTTCATCGTCTATGTGGTCCTACTCTGGACCTGCTCCAGCAACTTCACATCCTTCCTGTACTGGGGGCTGTGGACTTGGGCTCGCTTACTTTTACTTTTACTTTTTACTTTTTACTTTTACTTACTTTTACACTGAATTTTTGAATTATTTTCTTGCTGATACACTAATACACTTGAAATAGTCATCCTTTATGTTACTAGAGGAATTGGGCAATGATCCTAAATGCACAAATATTTTAAGTCGGCAATGATTTTAGGTATCTATTTTAGATAGAATGCTTGTGATAGCATATGGCACTAAGAATACGTTGGCACTAAGAACATCATGTTTTATTTCTAGTTCCATTTTTCTTAGGAGGTTATTACTTCAAGTGAATTTGCATGGTTGCAAGTTCCTTAAAATACCACCTAACGAGCATTCTTCTGTTTTCAGCCTTTCTTATTCTCCAGATTAGCTGCAACACCAGGTTTAGGAAATAGTAAATTCTTTAAAGATCAAGTTCATTGTAAATTTTGGAGAAACTAAATGGTAGAAGAATCAGTAGAGAAATGTTCTTATCTTTGTGTACACCAATGGGAATGGACTGCTATTCATATATTTATTTTAATAGGTTTTTCCTTTTCCTGTTTGACTTTGCTGTTGTTTCAAAAATGCACTAAAGTTTTATGGTGTAAGTTTGGGTCTAGTTTCTCAAGGGTTGGTTGTATTCTCTAGTTGCCTTTGCTTATAAAAAAAGGTGCCCAAAATAGTTGTATAGATCATACAGAGTTTGTGTCTGCATGGCTTGTTTTTCAGATGTTGAAAGCATGTAGTTCCCATACAGAATTAAATGGGTGGGGTTTTAAGGTTTTGTGAAACAACCATCACTGACAGGAGGTACTGAGTCTATGGAAATTGGATAATTTCAGTGGTTGTGGTTTTAGAGCTTATGGGTTTAGACCTAATTGTCACTTAAAGGAAAAAATATTATTCTTAGTATTAATTTGTACCTGTGGATTCATTAATACAGTAGTAATTTGCTATTTAGAATTGGGTCAGAAAATCTATTGATGTTTTTGAAGGAAAAGCATGGAAATAAGGCAAAGTCAGAAGTCATTAGTAAGCTGGTAAATCCTGACAGCCTATATTCACCACTTCTTGTATTTAAGGAAAACAGAGAAATACGTGTGTTCTTGCAGATGCTGAGTTATTCTTTTGAACTGGTTTGCTGCAGACAAACTTGCTGTAGTTTCCATTGCCTACAAGATGAGGCTGTCTTCGCATGTTGTGTTCATGAGATGATGCTAAAGGATGGTGTTCTACTGTAGCTGAATACAGTACTGAACTAAATACAGTGTAATGTAATTGAATAATTTCAACATGTTTGTATTTCATTAGGCAATAATGGAGCTTTACCAAAGTTGGCAGAACAACTAGAATTTGAAACTAACTTGAGAGCTGAAGAGGTATTTATGATATTTTAAATTTCTTCACTATTTCTTGTATGGTTTTAATTTCTAAGATTTCTTACTTTATTTTATTTCTTTTTTTTTTTTTCTTTTATTTCTGTTCAATAAGAACTACATTTCAAAACTTTCAAAGAGTCATTTTTTTCAGAACTTTCAGCTGTATTCTTTTAAACAATTGGCATTAAAGTTGTGTGATGTCCATGTTATTCTGTGGTGGAACCAATTCCCTTCCTTAGCTGTGTTTTCTTCTATGACAGTGACATCCAAGATTGCTTTTCATTAGAACTAGTCATACTGTATGCTTGCTTGTGATCTTACTTGTAAAAATAGTTATATATGCCTTAATACTTATGTTTGGCAGTCGCTGGTTTAGTGTTTTGAAGTGGTATACAACAAAATGAATAGACGTGCATCTTTCGCTTGATTCAGAGTATGGTTCAGAAAACTCACAAGCATCTCTAATAGGGCCACCTGGGACTTGCATAGGGATGCTGCCTTCAGCTCCAGGACAAACCACTTCAGTTTTTCTGAATCAAGCCTGAAGTGCATTTCAGGAAAACCTGAGTCATTTTTGGTCTAGTGGGGTTTATTGATTTGAGTACCCCTGGCAAGTGGCTGTACTGTTTGCTGGGATAAGATGGTCCTACAGTCATTACGCTCGTATTCACATGGCGTTGTGTTCGAGTTTACAATGTCTGGATTTGACTTAATGCTACGTGGAGTTAAGTATACTTATCTATGCATTTTTAACATATAGCTGATCTACAGCTTGAATTAAAAAGGGAAAAAAAGACCCAAGTTGGGAAGGCTTCACTACACTTTGTTATGCTTTGCAGTTCCATATTTTTCTGTGTATGTGAACATTTCTATAATACTTATAGTGATTGGAACTCCTCTCACAGTAGGAATTTGCACCTTGAATTCCTGAGGTTTCTCTTGAGATCTGGTTATATTAATTTGTTCTTACTGACCAGCTTTAACTATGAAGTCAAGCTCATGGTATTACATTGTTCAACAGTAATATGACTAATCTTCGTCAGTCTGTTATTAATATTTGTATTACTATCTTAAGAATGCTTTTGAAGACTTACACACCATAAAACAATAGTCATAATTATGTGAGGGAGGGGAATTAAATGTGTTTGTACTAGATGTCTGTCATATTTTTTGTTTCCTTTCATCTTGTGTTTAGCCACCACAGCCTGAAAGTCCAAAAAGTGAAGAAGTATATGAGGATCTTCGTATTAAGGAGCTACAGAAAGGTGATTCCATAAATCTATTTCTAGATTTGAAAAATACTCTCTCTAGAGAGATTGAAGTAAAGCCTACAGAAACCTTTTGTGACAGGCTTCTAGGAGTTCATGTTGCTTTGGAACTCATTTGCATTTGGTCTGCAAGAAGGAGGGAGGTGAATATATCTTCTACTAGGAAGTTCTAAAAGAAGGTGGAAAGCGTTGAGTATTTAAAAAAAAATAAAGTAGACTGCTAATGTTTTATTTGACATTAATAAATATTTGAGGGAGGAAAAAAAGTTTGCTCAGCTGAGGTACAGAGACTTCCCAAAGAATGACTTGCTTCTTTCTTACCTAAGAATGTCCTTGTTTCTGGTGTTGTGAGAGGTGCTTTGGGGCTGTGACAAAAGTGCTGTATGATCAAGTCAGAATTAACAGGAAGATTTTTATTTATGTATTTACTTGTTGCTGTTGTTCTGTCCTGCTCTCCAGAAGATTAAAGTGTTTCTGGTCATCCACTGAAGTAAGTAGGTAGTCACCTCACTAGAAATCTCAGTCAACTCTACATCTCTGCTCAGTAATTCCTTTTCAATGCATAATGTTATTCTTAAATGGAGGAAGAAAAGAAAAAGCCCTCCTTCCCAGAAGCACATTATTTTAAAATGTGTTGCAGTTGTTTGGCTTTCTTATTAAAGCAGAAACAAACCCCTGCTTTGTTCCCATCTTGATGGATTCTGTGCTCCAGATGCTTTACAAAGATGTTTACAACACTACCAGATGAGAGTTAATCTTCAGTTGGTGGAGTAAAAAGCAAAACTAAAATGAATTCCAGGAGGTACCAACAGTACTGCTGTATAGAGTCCGAAGAGTTGAAAGATGCATTTCCTATTACAGAATGTTGCTGAAAGCATAATTTGAAAGGACAAACTGTAAATCTCAATTGTAAATTTTTACATGTATACCAAAATAACTGTTTACCAAATAGGGAACAAATTGAGTAAGGTGATACACGTGTTGGTGTCAAGTTTTAGATTCCTTTTTATTCTTGAGGTAGGTCAGATAGCTAGTTTAATTGGTCTGAGCATATTCTTTTAGGTGGTAAGACGTGCTCTGTTCACAAGAAAGAAAATGTAAATCCTGAGAATCAATCAGAAGAATGTTGTCTTGGAGAGACCAGATCCAAAACTACAACCAGTTTTCCTCTACTCTGAGATTTGTTCCAAGGGCCTGAAAAACTGCCACTTTATATCATGCAGTCGTGCAGCAGACAATACTTACATTTTAAAATGCGCAGATTGGACTGGCTGTGATAATCTTGTTCCATGTAAAATGTTTAACAAAAATCCATTTGTTGTGTAAATCATCTTGGTTATGACACACACAGAAGAATAATGCTTCGTAGCTCTTCATGGAGTTTTTTCTTTCTCTTCCACCATACAATAATCTTTTATTTTTATATATATACGTATATGTATATATACATATGGCCCAACGTACGTAAAAGGAAGTTGTTTAAAAGACAAATGTGTGTCCTGTCATGAGTATGAACAGCAGACACAGTAGTTTAGTAGTCCAAGATTCCTTGGAATGTAAACAAATCATTGCTGTTTGAGTGGGTAGGATCTAGCTCTTCATTTGATGCTGCTTTAAAAATTGAAAAGATATTGTGCAACTATGCTCTATAGCTGTGCATAAATTGTTTCTAAAATATGAAGATGTAAGAAATGAGTACATGTTATATAAAGTTGTACATAAATGTTTCCATTGTATTGTAAGTTTGTGTTCTTACTCAAATGAAAGAAAAAATGTTTGGACTGTTTCAGCAGCTTTTTAAAGTAAAAATATTAATTCAGTTTCCTATGTGAATCAGATCTAAAGGATTTGTAGAGTCTTCTTGTAGAACAACCTTTTTATGATTATTTTCTTTTGTACTTACATGAAATAGCTTTAAAAGATGCAAAGGGCTCATTAGTTACTTCTAATTATTTTCCAGATTCATGTGGTATGTAAGGGTACGGCTTTGTTTTATTAGATCCAATTATAGGACAATAGAGCTTAGCAATCTAGTAACTTCTATGTGCACTGTATCACTGGAGTCACTGCTACGGTTATGCAAGCATCAGTTCTCTGCCAAGCCCATTGTTACAGCTTAGTTTTCAGTGTATTTTACTTTATCCTATGATGTAGCATCTAGATTTGTGATGGACAAAACTATGACTTACACAAATGCTAAACTAAATCTGAACTAAATCTGAGATTTTGAAGTTGCAAGGTATTTCATAGGTCCTAGTGTCTCGACTGATTTGTTTTAGCCTTAACGTGATTCTCAGCCATCCTATGCACTGGAAAATCGTATTCTTTGTTTTTTGTCAAATATGGTTAAAGAGGTGATTAATGTGCTTGGATGAATCATTTCCAGTAGTGAAAATAAGTTGCATAGTTAGTACTTTAGGACCCTTCTAGGGAGGCGAAGTAGAAAATACTATCATACTTTGCTATTGCTGAGCATTTCTGACTTTTTTTTTTTTTTTTTCCCTATTTTTAATAGATTCACTGCAGAAGAATAGTGCTGTGGAAAGAGAAACTATTCACGTAAGATTTATTTAATTTACTCTGTTTATGCTGCTTTCTTCTTGCTTGCATTTACTTCTATTTACATTAAATATTCTTTAAAAGAAAATACTGTTTCTTATATAAGCAGAGCCTATGTATATTGAGACTGTGCAGCTGTATACGTTGATGCCCAATTACTCTTTTGAATTTAGTAAATAAATCTTGTCTTATTTAACAGTCTATGACTATTCCACAATTGTTAGCTGATAGAAAAGCTTAATTGTCCTCCTTGAGAACAGAGAACAAAAAATAGGGATTATACTGGGGACTTGAGTCAGAACTAGAAAGCTGTTGTTTTGATGCAGTCCACTGTAGTCTTAAAAGAACACAGAGCCTGTAATTATAATGAGGATGATTAGGAAAGTTGCAATACCAAGTTTTTCTTAGGGAGCAGAAACAAGATATTGAACACAGATGACGAGTAAAAAAAAGAAAAAAAGTCTGTGATTTCTTTAACTTGAATTTTAATTTATTAATTTAATTTATTAATTATATATATATTAATTTTGCCAATTAATATGCCTATGCTGGTTGGTTCTGTGTTGGTTCTAGCAAGGTATCAGTTTTGATCCTGCATGTAGGACAGTGTCGTTACTTTAAATCTGAAAATATTTTGTGTAAGTTGCTATGATGAATTGCTTTTACAGCACACGGTTGGATGCCTAATTAAAATTAAGCCTCTTTTCATTAAAAGGATCAATTAAAAATTCTGAAAATGTGACAAGTCAGAAGTTCTTTCATGCTAATGGTAACATTGTTTGAGTTCTGTGAACAAACTGCTTTTAGAATATCACTGCCTTCCATTTTGGTACTTGTTTAATTTAGAAGTAGCTAGTAGCAATAACTTTTTTTCCCTTCTGTGTTTACAAACTTAATTGTGGAGGGGGGTGGAGGAGGAAAGGTGAGGAGTTATATTTCTTTGTATTTTATTCATAGGTGGAAAACCTGGACACCCAGATAGCTGAAGAGCATCAACCTAGGGTAATAGAATGTAAAACTTCAGGAATAATGGATAAAGAAAAATGTAAGTGATCCAGATCTACGCAAATGTGTATAAAGCCTTGCTCGTACAGTTCTCTTTTGGAGGACAGAGGCAGTAGGGAACTCCAAAATCCTTAGCAATTCCTTTTTTTTTTTTTTTTTTTTTTTTGAAAACAGCTCAATATATTTGATGCAACTTAATGTTTCTATCAATGTATGGTGATAAATTCAGTAGTACACAGAGGAGTTTTATAGTAGCTTTTTAATCATAGAGGGAACAATTTACTTTTAATGTATAAAATATTTACTAATTTTATCATTAAACGAAAAAAAGAACAGAGGTGGAGTATAAAGCTGAAGAAAGCTGATCATCAGGGAAATATCTAGCCATTCACTGAACTTTGTGAGGCTGGTTTTTCCTACTGTTAGACTGGGAGGACTGACATCTTTGTCTAGAATCAGGAGAGAAGGAAGGTAGTCCATTGAATAGCCTAAATATTTCAGTTAATCTATTCATTTAGACTTTCTGTTAAGATAATTGTTACGGGTCTATGTAATATCTATTCAACCTCTGCTCTTAACTGCAGGAAAGACTTACTGCAAAAAACCTTACTATAAGTTTTTGTGCTTTTTTTGTGCTTTTTTTTTTTTTTTCTGCATCAGAACAACAACAACAAAAAAGCATGAGGCTAATTGATATTATAATTTCTGTGATAACTCTTTTTGTTCTGCTCCTAAGAATATTGATTTCTTAAAGTGTGTGATTGGAAACCATGTGGTATTCATTATAGTGTACCTCATAGCACTACCTGCTTTTTTTGGTTGGTTTGAAGATAAGATTCATGTTTGAATTTGAGAGATACCATATCAAGAAATTAAAAAAAAAAAAAAAAGCAAGAAACATGGAATTCTTTTATGTAATTTTTTATATTCCTTTACCAAGAGAGGCTAGCCTAACTTCCTGTTCATAGCTTTGAAATTAAGATGTTGCTTTTTGATTTAAAAAAAAAAAAAGAATTCTTTGCAATAGTGTGCTGGTATAAAAGCCATATAAAATCTGACAGGTGAACTGTTTGAATTGTTTGTTTTTACAGCCAGCCAGCTGATTGCTCAGGATGTAGGAACAGATAATGATCCAAGTCCGTGTTCCAGAACAAAACCTAGTAATATGAAGGTATTTTTCGAGAATGTTTTTCTTTTTTAATTTTGTGTAATTTTAACGTGGATAAGACTTCAGTGTTTATTTCTATAGCAGTTTATTTTGGGAGGTGTTTTCATTTTTAACTATTAATTACTCTTACATCGTGTTGAATAGAAAATGACTATGGAGTGATAACTCAAGTTTTCAGGAAGTACTCAGGAAAAAAAAAAAGGTAGATTTGGTGTTCTATGAAATGTCTATATAATACATCTTTGATGCACTGTGGGCCAATTTGCACTGTAGTTAAGAGCTTGGAATCATGTGAAGTACCACAGGGTTCCAACTGCCCAATAAGTTCACCATCTTGATGGCTGTACTGATTTAAGATCTGCAAAATGTTATCATTTTATTATCATACTTATCATTGCATTATCATACTTGACCTGAATTCTGTATTTGCACTTCCCCTTTGAGTCAGAATAGGTACTTAATGAAAAATATCTCCCTTTTAAGACAAGGTGCTGAATGTTTTACTTTATCTCACCTATTGATTTTGATTAAGGTTATCAGCATCCAAGTTTTCAAGAGACACTATAAAATCTTGATGAATAAAATAACTGCTTTTTTTCTGAATGCAAGTAACTGACTGTAATCTTTAATTTGTAGTAAGATGCTCTGTTTCAAAATAATGCAGGAAATTACTTCATGTGATGCAGCTGAAGTCTCCGAAGAAGTTGTTGTAACACATACACCTCCTGCAAATGCTGTGGAAGAAAAAGGTAATGAAAGTGAAGAATCTGCAATTTACTGACCCTGTACTTGAATGCTAGTATTATTTGAATGTTTCTGAGAGCAATGAGAAATCCAATCCCAGCCAAATAGTTGCATAAGTTCTGTAGTTGCGTTCTGTTCTTGCTATCAAATAATGCATTGTTCTTAATTCCTTTAATAGTGAGAGCAAATGTGATGTTCCTGCTGTGGAGGTAGCTTGACACAGATAAGGAGTTATGGGGGATATCATGCATCTGCTGCATTGTGCAGTCTGGGAAGCCACTTGCAAGTAGACAATTGGAAAAGGATACAGCAAGTTCAGGACATGGGCAAGAACTTCTAACTCAAACCAATAATAAGAGGAGAGTTGTTCTAAGAAAAAATCATGACAAATGCACTGTCAAAAACAGTTATGTTTGTTTATGTAGGAAAACCAACCAGGAAGGAGTGTACGAGTTAAGCTGTTGTAGTTTACTTTGTGAAAACACTTTTTAGAGAAAAAAAAAAAAAAAAGTGTTGTGGCCACAGTGCTAATACTGACTTGGATGTAACTTCATTCTGTCTTTCTGTTTTGTATTAACAGTTGTGTGCTCTCTGTTGAAAAATCTTTAACTGTTTAGCAGTAAGCTTGTATCCTCATGTTACTGTTTCAGAGAATGTGTGAGGAAATTAAATAGTTGTTTGTTGAACTTTGTTTTAACTTAAATTAAAAATCACTTCTGAATCATCTAGGGTTAAGGAGGCATTCTGGCAGTCCAACATACTGTTGCTATGAGATGGATGTTTATAGGGAAGTTGAATTTGAGGCCGTAGTGTGATACAATACTTTTAGTGCAGGATTGTGGCCTGTACCTTTTACTCTGTCTAATAAAATAAAGATGCACAGTTTATTTTTTTTTTCTATGTGCACGTGAAGATGAACTTGCCACTGAGCAGGAAATATTTGAAAAGACGAAGCAGAGTCTAGAATCAAATGAAAATTCTGTAGAGGTGAGTGGTCTTATTCATGTTAACAAATTGAGATAATGTTGGTTCAGACAGAAAACAAGTACTTTGTATTTTGCTGACAGCAATACTACAGTTTTGATTCAACCAGTGTATAAATAGCTGTACAAATTTTGGTGAGTTTTTTTGCTACTCTAAAGTGCCAAAGGCTCTTGTAATTATCTGTCACAAAGCATAAACATGCACCGTAAGGCGTCAGTGGTTGTTATTAACGTAGCAGTAACTTCCTTCCTGCATTTAATGGTGCTTACAAATTGTATATAAAATAACTGTATACAATTCTATACAAATCATGTTTCCTGGAAGCTTCATAATTGACGTGTGGACAGTTGTATCACTTCATCAAATCCAAGCTGGCTCTACGAAAATATTACCATTCAAAAACTTTTAAGCTCTTTTTAATTATCTTTTAACCATATACTTGTGATATTCTGCAGTGGTTGTTGTAAAAGTCTGTCTGAACATACTTTGAGAATAAAATTGTTATCTGAGTCTAGAAGTGGACACAGTTATAGAAACTTGTGGTTTGCTTTTTTTTTTTTTTTTTTTTTTTGCCTCTGCATTGAATGTGGAAAAGCTTTTAGAAGTTTAAATTGCCACCTATGTGGGCTCAATGTTTGAGTCACCAGTAGGGGGATCAGGACACCTCTAGATTTCTGTAAATGCTGAATGAAGCACTTAATTCTCTTTCATGTAAAGGGGAGCAATGGTTTTGTTATTGGAAACAGTCAGACCATCTTCATTACTTGTAGGTGTCCTTAATACCTTAAGCTTCAGCAGCTTCAAAGTAGGGAGCTTTTGTTTTTTTTTCTCCTCCTTCAAACTAAAGGCCTGATGTATGTAGCAAGCTTCACAAATCTGTGCATTGAGATAATTAGGATACTGACTGTTAAATAGCACTACCTCAGCTGTTACAAGATGTTGCCTATACTATCTAGAAGAAGAAATCAGACTGGGAGTTCTCTTAAGACTGAAAAAACACAGTGAGATGTACAGGAGAAGGTTAGAAGCATTTGTTAAATGAGGTGATACAGCTGATAGGGATGTAAAAGGCATGTCTGAGGACAGCCACTGAGAATTTTGCATAATCAGAAGTTGACTTGTTTCTTTTTAGCTTTGTCAATGAATTTTATGAAAAGCAATGTCTATTCGTACAAAACCTCTTTCACCTAAGTTATGTCTCTAAACAGACAAGCACTATTTCTGCTCACATCACATTATGTTGACAACAGTCTTTATACTATATTGCCCCAATACTGGACATTAGTTGTAGTAACTGAAATACTTTACTTTTACTTTTTATAGGATAATCAACCCGTGATAGTAAAACGGAAGAGAGGAAGGCCTCGTAAACATCCTGTTGAAGATGTACAGCCTGGTGATGGTGGTAAGTAATTCATAACACTTGTGTGGAGAAAGAGTAAAAATAGTAACATTCAAGTTCTGAATTCATATTTCTTCCCTCAGGTGGGGAGTCAAAAGCTGATATGAGCACTGGCAATGTAAGTGCCTTTATTTTGTTTGAGTGCATTTAAGCATGAGATCCGTTATTCTGTTTTAACAGGTAACAGTGTTTCAGAAACATTCTGTAGCAAGCTTGGTAACTGAATTCACACTATAATAAAACTATAAAAACTAAATCCTGTTCTAGTAGAGTTTACAAGCAAAATATACTATTAAGTCTGAACATGGCAAATAACAGGATTAGTCTTAGTACAGCATAGTTACACTGTCTAGCAGTATACTTGCAAGCAGGATGAAATTCTGATCACATGCACATGTCTTTTAGTTTGTGCTGTGAATAAATTTGACCTAACGTTCAAGGATGACTTAATGTAGAAAATTTAAGGCTCTTGTCTTTACTGAGCCTATTGTTGTAACAGCATATACTAGCTCTTAACATCTTTAAAATAAACTTGTGCGATCTCCATTACACTGTGTATGGTTAACTCATAAGACAGAGATATGCTGGTAGTAAGTTAAGCACTCCTGAAACAACTCAGTCTTCTAAAGCTCAGCAGTATCTTGATTTCTTAAGCTATGAGCCATAAGTCACTGCTAAATAAGTAAGTATTCTGTTGAAAGTGCTTCTGTAGTCAAGTTGGGTTACAGCGCTGTGATCAAGCGTGGATTGAGCAAAAAATTCTTGCATAAAAAGAGGTAATGATTAAAAAATAAACAAAGAAATTATATTGAAACTTGTGTGTTCTGCATGCTTGCCTGGTAAAGCACCTGCTGGTTGTCAAAAGTCTTGGGAATTTACCTAGTCTATAAATATCAGGTATTCTTCTCCCTATGTTTATTCTGTCCATGCAGTATTTCAGGCAGCCTGTTCAGGGTCCTGTCCCTTTTGCAGGTCTGGTACAGTTTTGTGTCTGAATCAATTTTCCTAATCAGTATCTTTCAGTATTTCTTCAGTGAAATGTGTTTCAGTCTTGTTTGTTTAGTTGTCCCAAATAAAAATTAGAGTTAACTTAAAATCCCCTCTAGAATACGTATGCCTTTACACAGTGCTGAAACTGAGTTGTCTTGTTCTAGTTAGCCATTTTAAAGGTCTTATACTTCCCACTGATGATGGGTATTTGTACCAGTCAGCTACAGGCTGGCTTCAGGAGGAACAGTATTTAGCCTTCATCTGAGAAAATGGTTCTGCAAGGCTGCATGCTGTCTTTGCAAGACAGTCTTCTCAGGCTGCTTTGAGAATTGTTACTACTTCAGAGATGGCGTAGACATCTTAGTGTAGTCGTTCAGTGATTAAAGCAATTGGATTTTATAACAGTCATCATAGGAGATCATGTGGTTGTAACTGACTTTTTCTGTGTTCTGAATAAATACAAAACTCTCATGGCTGTAATTTGTAAATCTGTGCTTACATAAAATGACTGCGCTAAGCTTTTTGTATCACCAAGAATTAAGTTTTTTTCAGCAATGTATTTAACTGAAACTACTTTTAAGTTAGTGTCTATTATTGTAATGACTTCCTTTGTCAATTACTCTGTCAGGTTACTGAAACTACTGTCATTTCATTTGTTTGGAGGGTAACTAGGTGCAAACTTTCTGCCTGTTGATTAGAATGTTCATTTTTTTTCTGAGACTGCAGATATATGCACATATATATGAATGAAGTTTCCGTGTTTATGTAATATAAATCTGGGCTTTTCTGATTTGTCGTCTTTCTTTTTTGTTTCTAGCTGCAATTTCCTACCTCTGCAAGTAGAGGGAAAAGTCCTCAAAAAGGTAAGCAAACCATGAGAGAAATCCAAGGGGGTGATCTAGAGTATCAGATGAGTCCTTCTTAAATATTGTGTTTTAAAATGCGTATCAGAAAGAAATCTAATTATGTTCAGTTAATTACATTATCTGTGGATATGAATTCGAAGAGGTAAGTGGTAGCTTGAGGGGATATCTCTTTCTCCTATCGTAACTACTATAAAATCGTTAATAAGATGATTGCTTAGCTTCCATTAGAAATGCTTTTATTGTTATAAACTGAAGTCAAATCAAAAGAGACTTTCCTATTTCTCTTTTTCATTCAGACACCTGTCATTTGTAAGGGGTAAAATAGTGATGAATTTTAAGCAGTGTAGCTAATTACGATAAGTGATCTGTACTGTGCTGGTTGTTTAGGTTCTTTTTAGTAAAAGCCATTCATGAATATATTTTAAAATTCACTCAGGAAGCTGAAAGGAAGTTGAAAAACACCTTATAAACAAATACAAACACTCATGTCCTTTTAACTGGAAGTTGTTCTGCACACGGCTGTACAGTAGATGCATTCACATGCATAATGGGAAGTGAAGTTTTCAGTCAGTGGAACTCATACAGTTGGAAACAACTGATTTCTAGAGGCAGCATCCTAGCTTAACAGTTCTCTTATGTAATTAGTAGTGGAAAAGGACTTCTGTGGAGAACTCTTCCTGTGTAAGTAGAAACAACTGACAGTAGGCTTGAAACCAAAATTATTCTTGCACTAATTGCTGCTGGTAAGTTGATATGGCTTTTGTTATTATTATTGCTAATTGTTTTCATACTCAAAGTAAAAGTACAGCCTTTTCACATATGAGGAGAAGATTGGGTCTGTTAAGAAGGACGTGACTTGTAGTTAAATTGTCACAGGGTGTTTTGCTATACATTTGCTAACATTTGCCAGGATTTTAAATACCTGCCTTCAGTACATGAAAGAATTAATAAATCTTTTTAATATGTTAATTAGACTTATTTTGTGTAAAACACTTAATACAGTGTACTGTTCTTCATTTTACTGTGCTTCTTCATCAAATAGTTGCATGCTTGTACTTTATTTCATTTGTTTCTGCGTAAAAGATTTTCCCTGTAATTTGGACAACCTAACTTCAGAGGACCTGTGTGTGAGTTAAGAATATGTCTCTGCTTTGAGACCTCTGTCAATTTGATGCACCAAATTGACATTCTTCTGTATTTGCTCTGTTGGTCTAAGCAGAAATGAATTTAGAGTTTTTGGCCTTATTTTCAGCTTTCAGAATCAAAAAGAGACAGCAATTTTGTGGCATAAAAAAGTGTTTAAAAAGATGGTGTAAAAACCTCCATGTTATTTAGGATGCTTCTCTCCTTCAGTGACTGGGGATTTTTATCACTGCGGTATTGCAGGTAACTCTATCTGACAAACTTGAAACTTTATAAAATCATCTTTCTTACCATGGAGGCCAGCTTGGGACAACGTGCTTCATAGAGTACATAAAATTATTTCAGTATGCACAAGCCAGTCTGTAAGAAGCACTGGATTGAAAAACCAGGCTTCTTCAACAGAGAAAGTTAACTAATTTGTATGCCAGGTGTTAGTCAGGATTTAAATTTAAATTTTAAATTTCCTTGTTGAGCTACAGCCATCTTGGTGCTTCATGGCAGACACAGTAAAGAATTAGCCCAGAGGAGCTTTATAATTTCTGATTTTAGAGACTTTTCAGAACTGCATTGATCTTGAGCAGTAGGATCACATTTTGAGTTTAGCTGTACATTGAGCAAGGACTGGTCTAGATGATCTCCAGAGACGCCTTCCAAGCTAAATCCTTCTTGATTCTGCTGTTGGTTGATAGATATCTAACTTCTGCTTTTCCACTTAAAAAAAGAAAAATAATAATATTAAAAAAAAAAAAAAAAAGTATGTGCAACAAAGCAGTAAATATTGCATCAAGCATATAAAGGCTTCGCTGCTTTAAAAAAAAAATAAAAAATCATTGTTGTCGGTCTGTGTGTATAACAAAATGCAAGAAAGGCAAGTTCTAGTTTAGGAACCATAGATGTTTTCTGACTTTCTGTGATGCTTATGCAAACTTGACAACGTTTGAAAGAATTCCTTTTAAAATTGCTTAATAAAAGATTTGAAGTTCAGGATTCAGTTTTGTTCTTTCTCTTCTAGGTACAGACATATCTAATAAGAAAGAAACAGCGAATGTAAGTGCAGGAGATTTAATTTGTAAGTCTGTACGCAGTATGTAATGAAAAATGTCTGTCTTATTAAAACTGTTCTTGTCTTGTTTGCTTCCATTTTATTTCTTCAGGAAGATGAAGCTGGGAAAGCAGAGACGACTGTGCGTAAAAGGGGAAGAAAACCCAGGCGTTCTCTGGTTCAGGCAGAGGAAACTGGTAAAAAGAAGAAACTCTGCTGTTCCTAACAGAATGAAAAGATATTACTGTGCCTTTCTGTATACTGATAGCAATAAGATAAGCTTTATTCAATTTTTCCTTTCTTGAGGAAAAATCATTGAGTTACAGCTAGTGTAAATATTATGTAAATATGTGTAAATTGCTGTAATCTCATGTCAAAATTGCTACATCCCAGATGCTTCCATAAAGCCTCATGAATTTTCTATGAATTCTGGCTATGAGCTGCATAAGTAAACTGTTGCAAATGTGTTAACAAGATTAAGTCAAACAAGTGTGAATTAAAAACATTGAAAGCATAAAGGAAATGGAAAATTACTTGCTTAAAATGGGATTTGTGAATAGAATACCTTTTCTAAACTAAGTGTCCATATCCTTTTGGAGGGCTTTTGGAAAATTATAGCACATGTGTAAAATTTTACATGGACAGAAATGCTGGAGCCAGAAAGAAAACGTCGGAAATTAACATCTTCTGAAGAGGAGATAAGAGAGCAGGAGGAAGGTGAGGAAGAAGACAATGAGGAAGAAGATGAGTCCACAGCTAGACCAGCCACAAGACTAGAGGCTCAAAGGTAACTCATTGTAGAGGCACAGATATTTTTTTTGCTACGTTATTTTCAGTTGTGGATTGAGCTTTTCTTTGCAATTTGTTTTGATTGAAACTTCCCATATAAGGTTGGATCTAATTCTAGCATTAGGAGATTTTCCTTTCAGTAACGAGGAATGGAAAGTCTTGTTAGAACTGGAGTTTTTGTCTTTGTATGACAGAGGATAGCTGTTATTCTAATTATGAATAACAAGCAGAAGAGGCAATGTTTTGCCTCAATTCAGCATTGCTAGGAGATGAGAAAGTGTTAGGGTAACAAAAGACAGGCTTAAGATGTCAGAAGAACTGATCCTGTGAGCAATCTTGCATCTCGGTGATGTCTCAGAAAATGGGTCTGAGCACATTTAACTAACGGGTTAAAAGGGACTCGACTGCAATTCACCATTTAGCATTTGGAGTTGGAGCAAGGCAAAAATATAATTTTTAATGTCAGTTTCTTTTTCCACATATTAGCCCAGGTAAATACATGAATATGCAGTACTCTAGGATTTCATTTATATTTTAGTGAACTGCCGGCTCAGGAGAAAAAAAAATCAAACCGTGAAAGATTAGTGTGATACCAAGAAGCCCTTCTTTATCTGTAGTTTGTGTGCAAAAAGGCAGGCTAAAGAAGTGTAGCAGAGGTCATCCTCTTGACTAAAACTTTGGAAGCTTACCACTTTGTGAACAGCAGTTCTGTTGCGGTCTAACCGTTAACTCTAAAAAGGTAAGACATTAGTATTTTCATTCCTATTGCTTGTGAAAACATCTACTTTGTATTTACAGATGTTCTTGTTGGTCTTGTTTCTCAGATTTCCAGTGCTAACTTTCTGGCTGCAACAGAACAAAGCATCTCTATCTGAAAGTGCCACAAATATTCTGTGTTTTATAAGTAGCATTTGGGAATATTTAATGGAAGGAGGTGTCTCTTTATTTTCAGCTTTACTTAGGTCAGAAAACCTGATAATTCAACAGTCTGGCTTGTGAACTATGAAGTTGATTGCCAATAATCACTTTTTCATGTTTTTGAACTGATGAATGCTGAAGCCATGGGTGTTTACGTAGCAGAATTGTTGCAGATTTTGAACTCATTTTTTTGTTGTTCCGTAAATACTATCAATAACATGGCCAGTTTTGATTTTACATTTGCTATGGAGGCACACAGCTCTGCTTGTCATTTTGTGTCTAAAAGCATGCAAATGGTATTTTTCCACCATTTCTTTTGGCAACTTTGATTTATATGTTGCAAATACTGTTCAGTCTTAGTTTTCTGCACTTGGAAAAGTATTTTGTTATACACATTCATCATTCTTTTTTTATTACAGAATGCAGTCCAGCAAGCCAACCACTCGTGCGACTTCTAAAGGCAACAGTCCGAGTTCAGTTTCTCCCAGAAAACAACAGAAATTATCAGCAAAAAAGAGATCTCCAAGTGATACAAAAGTTAACAAATCTCCTCCATCAACACAGTAAGTATGAAAGCTAAAACCACTTTTATTATTTGTTTTGGAAGCAACTACATTTAGATGTAAAATGCTAGTTCAAAATCTGAACATCAGTCTTGCTTTGTTCTGTTCTTTTGTGTTATATAAAAGCTTTCAAAGGATTTTCTTCTGTTTACGTTTTTTCTTCCTTTCTTTAACATTTGCAAGACTAGACTGTGTGTGTGTGTCCTTGGAAAGTTCTTAGTTTCTTTTCTGAAAATGCTGTTAAGCAGTATTTTAAATGAAGCTGTGGTTCTTTCCTGAAAGTAGGAGGTGGGAAGAGCATCTGTAGTTCAAGTTAAAGCAACATATGTCATTATTCTAATGCTTGAAGATATCTCTAAGATCAGGTGATAAGAAAGGAGGAACTTCTGAATCCTTACAGCAGTGTACTTCCATTTTTCTCCTTCCTTGGTACACTTATTAATTTTTGAAGTTGAGATCACTATTAAAATCCCAAGGGATCAACAAATGCAATGCTCAGTTGCTGTTTGTCTTGTAGTTTGTAGTCAAGCAGGCTATACATCAAACACATTGTTGTGATCCATAGTGGAGACAACAGTGTTTTCAAACAATGTCTGGAACTGTGGCAGATGTGCATCATGCATTGATCAGCTGCCACAGTTCACCTGACATTAATTATTTAGCATTACTATGAACGGGCAAGAGTTTAAGCTGTGCACCTGAAAGAGAGTGGGCTTATATAGATGCTTAATTGGAGGTAAGGGCACATGACGTCTGCCCTTTATTCCTTTTATTCCCTCTCGTGCATGCAAGTCTTAAGCTGCTTTTGCTCTTTTTCTGTCTTTGTGTGAGGGAGTAGCAGGTAGAATATAGTTAACTACCCTGTTCTGATTCACACATCATTCCAGAAGAGAGGAGGTAGGAGTGCTCTGGCCCCATATTCTACATTTGAAGCACTCTCCAACATGCAGAGCTAGTATGCAGTACCCTGCTAAGACGTGATGGGAGTGTGCAAGGTCTCCGTAGGGTCTGTGCAGCTCTATGAAGATGTAACAGTAAGCTTTCAAATAACACATCCTCATAATTCATCAGACATGAGCATTTAAGCCCATCATTGAAGCAGGATTGTGCCTGACCACCCTTCTTGTTTTCCAGCTGTACTATTGTTAAAATAATTTCTGACTGTATGTGTGTACGTATGTATTTATTTATTTTAGGCAAAAGGTGCAGTCTACAAAGCGTAAAAGAGAAGGCAGCCCAACAGCAGTACGAAGAAAAGGCCAGCAAAAAACAGAAGAGACACCAGTGAAGAAAGCGAAGCGATAATCTCTACCAGCTGGTACTGTTTGTGGAGGAGTCAAAAGGAGGAAAAAAAAATCTGTGCTTCTATTTTTTTTAAAGCAAAGGGATTTGCACGTGCTTCTTTCAGAGCTCTAAGTTAATCGACGCAGTACTTTTAAGTTACATTTTAAACAGCTTTATAAACTATTGTTTATACAGAATATTATGTACATTTATTTCAGATGGAAAAATAAGTTTACTTTGTATCTGAATGAAAAACAAAGCAGTTATATATTTTATCACTGACTTGGAAAGTTGGGGATACCCAATGTGACATGCTAATGCAGATGCTTCCAACTCCTGAGACACCCCTGGCCTACTAATACACTTTGTACATAAACTTGTAAAAATAGGTTGTATTTTACTCTGTGTATGAATCTAATCAACAACGGACATCTTATTTATTATATGGAAAGCATTGGTCTGTAAACTTTAGTATATACTGTAGGCTTTTTTAATTATATATTTTACATTCTATGCAGATGTCAGTAGGAAACTTCACTCCCCCAGAGCTGTCTAAAATCTGAAGTTCTCTAAAATAAACTCAGACAGTTGGTAAAACACTTTTTCGCATGCATCGCAGTAGGTTAGCGTAGTGAAAGCAACTGGGCTCCTTTCTCTTCATGCGTGAGAAACAAGAAATTTAAAGTATGATCTTAATAGATTATATTTTTCATTTGTGATTTTACTACCAACCTGTAGCATTAGGTCAGGTTTATTTGAGTCAGCCAACTCTAGCCTGAAACGGAGCAATTTTATTTTGCAACTAAACACCCGTTCTTTCAGAATTTGTCTTTTTCAACAAAGAGGGACCCACTGAAATGAAACATCACTTCTCCTAACTATAGAGCTTCAGCATTTTATGTTACGTTTTATACACAGGTATTAAAAATTGAACCTGGTATTATTGCCAGAATCTTTTTTTAATGTATATTAACTCTGGTAAGAGCAAATGTTCAAGTGAAGTTGTATATAAAGTTCAACTTTTCTTATGATCAAATGTGTCTCTTGTAATGATGTGATGAGTTGCCAAACAATCTGAGATTATTTTAAGTGTTCTGTTCATATTCTGGTTTATAATTACAAAGGGTTTGGGAGGGTTGGAATTCTCCTTTTTTTTTTGTGGTTGTTTTCCCCTCTCTTTTGTGGGATGGTTTAGGTTTTTTTTTTGTTTGGTTTTGAACTTGTTGTAAGGCAGATGTTTCCATCAGATATTCTGCTTGGTTTCTTACTGAAACTTTTATATAAAAATTATAAAATGTTTGCCAAAAATTTGAGTTGCCATATTTTATTACTCTTTAACCATATTGCTGTGAAACTTGTTTTTGCAGATATTCTTGGTTGGAGCCATTTCTGTAATGAATGCTGATTCTGATTAGTGTCTTTAATTATTCTACATACGTTTATGTGTCAGGTCTATTAACAGCAGGGAAAACACCTAACAGTCCACCAAGCCTAGTGTGCTATGGAAGCACATGAACACAGAATGGCAAGCTGAGCTTTTTGTGGTATTTGTCTCTTCTGTCCTCCCCTACTGGAGCTTTCCCAGCTTTTATTTGGAGTCCTCTACATCTCTCCCAGTTTCCTTACGTCTGGATTCAGTAGTGAGATTGCTCTGGCAATTCCTAACAAACTGCCCACCGCACTGTATGTGACAGTCATTTCTGCTTCTCTCTTCCTGCTGGTAATGCTTCTCCTGCCACAGTGCAGACTGTATGTGCTTTTTTCACAGGCAGATCTTTTCTCATTGTTTTTGGTGATCAGTTAAGCCCCTGCTTAAGTGTCAGAGCCTCCTGACTGTCTTTTGCCTAATGAGTAGAGAAACGCAACCTTGAAGATCAGTGACATCTGTGTGGTTCAGAAGTTGGGCTTGTAGTCTGATGTGAGCCTTGGTGTACGTAAAAAAAGCAACTTTTACAGCACAGAAGGTTTGTAAAATCACTGTAAAATCGCAGCAGTTCCAATGGAGAATTTTTCTTTTTTTGTTACTTGGACATGGAGAAGGTAATATCCACTGTGCTGAAGAGCTGAGCTGCATTTGGAAAGAAGCATGGCTAAGGTGTTAGCTGCTAATGTGATTGTATTCAGTTGTGGAAGACCAATCAGGTGCTGAGTGGAAAGTAGAGATGGCAAATGCATTCTTACCCTGTGTTACTTCTTGAGAATTTGAGAGTAGAGGAAGAAACTGCTTTGTGCTGTGAGAGAGCAGTGGCCCTAAAGCGCTTCACAGTGCGGCTCCAACCTCTTTTGCCTACGTTGGTGTGAGAACACAGCTGCCCTGAGACCCCAATAAATTTATACAGTGCTTGGTTTCTTTCAGTGTTATAGGGCCTGTTTTTTCTTCAGCTCATTCTCCTGAAACTCTTTCATTTTGCTGGATGCTGTAACACCGAATGAACCAGAGAGACCTTGGTGGAAGATGGAGTTCAGCCTCCTGCTGAGTTTTACGGAAGGAGAACTTGTGTCCTGCTCACCAGCTCTTGGCTGTCTGTTAGCCAGAGGACTTGGCAAGCTGTCAGGATCTCTTCATATTTTCTGGCATGTACTTCACTGTCTTCAACCTAAAGCTCTATGGGTTTACCCACTGTATAGGTTTTAAATCACCTAAGTGGGTTGAGGGGGAATTGTTTTTTTAACTAACTGAAGGATCATCAGTAAAAGTTTGTTTGCAGTTGTCACTTTTTGATGAGGTCTGGCAGGCTTGTGGCTCTTGCAATTGATGAAATTTCCATCTAGAACCTGATCCAAAGTCAGTAGGTGCACTCAGCAGCTGAGGCAAGGCTTTTGCTGATGCTGGCAGCTCTATGAATGCCTCAGTTTTCTATTCCAACAGTGTCTCTAATAGCACATCTCCTTCTTAGGTATTTTTTAAAGCTGTGACATAGATCCCAAATACACACATCCACTGTTTCTTGCCTAAGTCTGCTTGATGCAAGTCCAATACAGGCTTGAATGACAGTATTAAAAACAGTCAAATTCTGATTCCTCTATCAAGTGCTGTAATGGGAAAAGAATTTTCTATCCCAGATTTCTGCCACTCCTTGCTTTTGGAAGAGGTGGTGGGACCTGTGTGGTTCAGTCACTGCCCCAAAGCTGGGATGTGCTGAGTGACCTCTCTATTTCCTTCCAAAGCAGCGTTTGATTTCCTTGGAGCTGTACCTGTTTATATTGTAAAGAGTAAATTTAGCTGGTCCATTTTAGCTCTCTTCCCATTAAAGCCATTCCATGTGAAATGTTTTTAGTTTTAAGGTGTAATGTAGACATCCTAATGAAGTAAGCTGAGTGCGCATTCCATAGTCTGTATACGTACGCCAAGCTCTTGATCTTGGAGATGCTTGATATTGCATCCACGATTATCAGTATTAGCACTCAGCCATTTCTCATACTGGTTCAGAAGATCTTCGTGACTTCCACAGCCCTCCTCTTGCCTGCAGCTGCATTTCAGAGGAAACTGTCCATGTCAGCCTTCTGCAAGTTTTGGCAACCTCTTAAAGATGCTGTGCTTGCTTCTTCCAATAGACTCCTTGTCCCAGCAATGGAGGTCACACTCCATTACTTCCATCAGCTTCTCAAAAAATCCAGGCCTGCCTCAAGCAGGTTGTTTTTCTACTAAAGCATGAAAGTTCAAACACCAAGGAAATTCCATTTGTATTCTAATCTTTATTTCTGGATTCTGATATTTCACCAAATCTCCTCTAAAGGCTGTTTCTGACTTAAACCCTTTCTTCAAATCTCAGCTTTTTAGCTCTTGCACTTCCTGCCTTCATAGGGGAAAAAAAAGTCTCAAAAGTAAAGCAAAATAAAAGTAAACACAGTTGAGGGAGTTACTAGATAACTTTATTTAAAGCCAGGAACAAAACATTTGCCAAATAACTTGAGAAGAAAAATGTGGTTTGAAATGGTCACAGTGTAGAAGGGCAGGAAAAGGTCTCTGGAACTGAGTATGCAATTAATTAGCTGAGGGGTGGCTTAATGGTCAGAGCAGCCAGTGCAAGGCACCTTTCTCCTTGTCTTCTGCCCCGTGACCAGTGCCAGTGCTGGGTTGTACGCTCACAGCCTGCTTGGTCAGGAAGCCTGAAAAGTTCTAAAGTTGCCACATCACTACACCAGCTGTTGACAAGGCTGTGTCATATGGCCGAGAAGTAGAAATCAGCCTTCTGTTGCAGCATAGGTTGGGGTACGTTTTGGTTGGTCATCCAGGTGCACCATAGGCTCTCACATGCGTATCAAATAACTATAGGTTCAGACAATCACAGAATAGCTTAGGTTGGAGGGAACCTTAAAGATCTCCTAGTTCTAATCCCCCGCTGTGGGCTGATTGTCACCCGCCAGCTCAGGATGCCTACAACCTGTCCAACCTGGCCTTGAATATCTCCAGGACTGGGGCATCCACAGCTTCTCTGGGCTTCCTAATCCCATGCTCCACCACACTCTGAGTAAAAAATTCTCCTAATTGGTGTGTAAATGCACAACGAGCTATGTTGTGGGTTGTATCCTTTCCTAGTGACAGTGCATTTGGGCTTCCTGTAAGAAGCACAGATTATCCAACCTAGTTAGGGATCCTTGTTATATACCACGTGTCAGGAAGAAGGCATACGATAGTTGAAAGCTGAAGACAATTTTGGAATGGCTGTAATTTGCTGTGCTGATCTCAGCAATGCAGGTCCTCCAGCAGGAATGACTTGCTGGGAAGAATTCTCCCTTAGTGGAATGCTTTAAATCAGATGCAGGAAAAGACTTTTTAGGGCTCTTTAGGAACTGATGCCCTGTTTCTAGCTGTAGAAGATAGGCTTGTGCTCAAGACTGAAATCAGATCTAGTGTCAAAACATCTGAATTTAAGCCAAATTGTTCCCTAAGTAAGGAATGCAAGCAAAGCATCACAGCTTTCTGTATTAGAAAGCACAGGTGCCTCAGGTGCAGTTCCCAGTGTTGAGCAAGCTGTGCTGGAAGCTGCAGCACTGACTTGCAGGAAATGTCTGGGATTAGCTCCTTAGGGACAGGCGTGTAGTGCTGGGAGGTGATCATAGAATCAAAAAATCATTATCATTGAAAATGATCACTCAGATAATGAAGTCCAAACATCAACCCACCACCACCATACCACCACCACCATACCATGTCCCTCACTGCCACATCTCCATGTTTCTTGACCAGCTCCAGGGAAGGGGATTCTACCATCACCCAGCACAGCCATGATACTCTACAGCTGCTTTTGTTTCACCAAGGATGGACCTTTGTTGGTCTTTCTTCCACGAATGCAAAGTAGGAAAAGTTCTTTTATGCTGCAGTGAGAGTGAGTTATTAAAAATAAATAGGTAGGTAGGTAAGTAGGTAGGTAGGTAGATAGATTGGTGGATTGATATTCCTTCCTGACCATATTTTATTGTGACATGTACACACGATGCAACATTTTCTGTTAACATTTCTTAAGATGGGTGGTTGTAAGGAATACGTGACAACATGGAGGAATACAGGAGAAACATGCTCACTGATCCATGGTATCCCGGCATCAATTCCAGTATATAAACTTAAAGATGTTAAAATCAAATAGTTATTCCTGCTTCAGTGCCCAAAGCAAGCAGAGATCTGGCGTGTGCTTTCCCCTTCAGACACCGATAGCTTCACTCTGCTTTCTGTATAAACAAGGGCTAAGAACTGTCCAGTAATACACTGCTTACTTAACTCCATTCAGCCTAACTCTATTCAGGCTAAGTAAACAGGCAATATGAACTGCTTTAAAATAATAATAATAATAATAATAAGCTGATGGGAAAGCATCTTTCAACTAATCGTGAACTCAATTTGCCACTTGGCCCTTACCTCAGCCTTCCTGCAGGCCTGGGGCTGTTCCCCATTCCCTTCTCAATTGGAGTTGATCAGACTCGCAACATTCCTCCTCATCTGCAATTCTCCCTCATCAAAAGTCATTCTCTGCAGTCAATGTCTCGCGTGACTTCTTGCTGCAGAAAAAGAAAGGAAAAAGAAAAAGAAAAAGAAAA